TGAGATATATATATATATATATATATATATATATATATATATATATGGAGTATTACTCCGCAATCAAAAAGAATGAAATCTTGCCATTTGCAACTTAGGGTTTTCTGAACCAGAGATAGTGTAAGTTAGAACCTCAAATATGCATTAGGGAAGCTGTGGTTATACATTCTTAGGGGATTTTTCCCCTTTCTACCTAGAGCCCTAACCCTAAAAGATACATCTTCTTCTTAACTCCTTTTCTGGTGAGCGAACTTTTTTCCTAAGTTTGTACTTTTTTTTCTGAGGACATAATCCTTCAGGATATGGAGGTTGGTGTCATTTCTAAGTCTTCATCATGCATGGACCCACAGTACTATTTCCTGGTTTCCTCTAGCTTTTAGGAAATGAACTTGTAGATTAGGGAGACTAGTAAGAGCAAGCACAGACCTAACTTTAGTCTATGACTTTTGTTTCCAAATCCTTTCATTTTCTGCCTCTGAGATTGTCATCATTATTGGTAACCCTGTTAAGGTCAGCCCTGTATTCAAAAGGATATTTATCATATTTAATCTAGGACTTCAAGGTGGTCTGTGGGAGGATTTTTTTTAGACTAGCTAGAACACCAGTGCTGCTTGAAATGCAAATGCACATCTTCCCCTTCAATTCTTCACATGGTTGGCTCCGTCTTCCCCTAGGTCTCATCCAAATGCCCACATTATATCTTAAGTAACCACTTCGCCCAACCAGTTGCTCTCCGCCACATTACTCTCTTTATCTTTCTCTCATAACATGCCGTAATGATCTTTTGCCAAAGGGTTCTTTCCATGCATGTTTTCTGTCTCTCCCACTGGTGTGTAGGACCCATGACAGCAGGTACTAAATCTCTACTTTCTACTGTGTGTTTCACCTCAAGGGCAGCGTGTGCCACAGAATGTGCATGTACATGCTTGGTGGATGAATAACTGTTTTCTTGAAGCCAATGTAAATAAAAACACAACACAAAATATATTCCTGAAAACATCAGATTATGCCAACGAAGGCAACATGTGAATGCTCGGGATTCTTAGCTTGGTGTTTCTGCCTTGTGATCCCAAATTATCGAAAAGTTAGATTATTGCTCTTCAATAACCTGAATTAAGAAGACATCGCTGCCCACCAGTACGATACCATTTTCCCAGAAATCAAGAATCGGGCTGTCCTAAATTATTTACTTTCTTTATGACTGAGGGACTATTCAGGTATCTGGACAAATGTGGCAGCTTCAAACCCAACAAGTATTTTCATTTGGACATGGCTTCCATTATGAATTCCGAAACTGTTAACTCTGTTTTTCAAATAAAAAAGTAAGAAAGTGAATTTTATTTCAGTATGTTGAGCCTTTGTATCATTTTTAGCAGAGTTATGAAAATGTCCTTCAGAAAGTAGCCTAAAAACATTTTTAGGACATGATACCTCGCCATGACCAGACAGAATCAAGTGTTGTGTCACGTCCTTTGCTCTGTGTGTAGGTAGGAACTCTTTCACAGGGAGTTCAGTTCTCTATTTTGACATATCAAATCCCCTAATAACAACCCTGAGCTTAGAAAATGTGATCCAAATAGAATGAATTTCCCCCCTTGTAAATCATACTAATTCCGCTTTAACAAAAAGTTCACACTGTTCACAACAGGTTTCTCGTGGGAAAAAAAAAATCTCTTGAAATAAAGGCAATCATACACCCTAACCCTGAACAACAACAACCATAAAGGGAACGTTTATTGAGTACTTCTAATGGGTTAGGCACTGAGTTAAGAGCCTTATTCCTATAGCTTACTCACCTAAACTGCCGTAGAGAGATTAGGGAACTTGCTCAAAGTGACACTGTTACCAGGTTAGTCAGTAGAGTTCATGTTCTATAACAATTCTTCATATTGCTTCACAAAGAAAAATATATTCGACGTCCTTATGTTTTGGAAGCAGATTCAGCTCTTGAATTTCTAAGGATGATGGCTCTACATTTTCATTTCTTTTGTTCTTGGAAAACCAAATCAGAAATCCATACCATGAGTTGAGAGAATATGTGCTTGAGTCATTATATGGAATCCAAACCTAAATCAGTTGGAGGCCTTATTCATACATATTTCCCAAACAGTTTGAAAGTCCCCAGGTTGTACCTCTTTTAAGCTTAAGGTTAGTGACCTTTCACTCAACAATGTATAATGAATGTTACTTAACTTCATTGACAATCACTATTTGGTTTGAGCCTGAAACCATGCATCTTGTTGAACTACTAGTTCACAAATGTTTCCTCACTAGGTAACTTTCTTCAGCTAAAAATCGCAGCTGGTTTATGACGATGGCGAAGAAGATTCAAAGTCAGATACGTGGAATCTAAAATAAGACTTTTCCATGTTCGTATATCTCACCTTAAGGGAATTCTAAAGAATTACACATTGGCCCTTTTGTTTCTTCAATTCTTTGATCTAAAGTGAGGTAGGGTACTCCTATAAGACTTTGGTAAGTATTGTCTAGAGCTGGAGAATTACTGATATATATGAACTTGTTTTGGTCTGCTTGGTCTGTATTTCATTACACTCTTTTGCTTGTGGGTTTTCATGCTTCCCTTCTCTTGAATTCTCCTAGGATTTTATTCAATAGGAAAGTTAAGTTCTCAGCACTAAGAGGCGAAGAAGGAAATAGGTGCACCTTGACCACCATCACCTACACCTTGTAATGATGCCATAATCATAGGGAGTCCCGGCACCTAAGGACGGATCCCTTCTGCTTCCCTGGTGGGGGGAAAGTATTAGAGATTTCCCAGAGCAGCTGAAATTTGATGAAAGCTGTGTTCAACTTGTTTATTGCACCTAAACATTTTAAAATACCAGGCTCTTTGTACAACAGGCATAGGTCTCTGAAAAGACATAGGCTATTTCTCTAACTTACGTTTTCCAAGGCTACTCAGCTTAATTTTTTTTTTTCTGTCTTATTTAACTTTAGAGACAAAAAAACATTTTAAAATGAAGCAACGGTATTAAATGCATAAGTCATGGAGATGAAAACTACAGCATAAGGATTATTGTCAATAATAGTGTAATTGTGACGTATGGTGACAGAGGGTGACCACACTTGTGGTGAACACTGAGTAATGTGTAGCTGAACTGTGTTGCACACCTGAAATTAATATAATATTGTAGGTCAACTAAACTTCAACAATAATTTGTTTAAATGATACAATGGTTGGGGCGCCTGGGTGGCGCAGTCGGTTAAGTGTCCGACTTCAGCCAGGTCACGATCTCGCGCTCCGTGAGTTCGAGCCCCGCGTCGGGCTCTGGGCTGGTGGCTCGGAGCCTGGAGCCTGTTTCCGATTCTGTGTCTCCCTCTTTCTCTGCCCCTCCCCCGTTCATGCTCTGTCTCTCTCTGTCCCAAAAATAAATAAAAACGTTGAAAAAGAAAAAAAAAATTAAAAAAAAAATAAATGATACAATGGTCCCATATTCAAGAGTAGTTATGAATTTTCTACAAAAACTGGGAATTGTAAGAGGATTGACTTCCTTAAGCACTTGGAAAGAAAGAATTCCTTTGTCTCAAATTCAAAATGCATTGCCACTTACATTACAATCTTCTAGAAAAGAACTACTGAAATAACAAAACTCCAATCTTGCCTTGCACTTAAACTGCCATGATTATACCATGCATCTAAAGGTCCAGTGTTTGTGGGACAAGGTGTCCTTGCAAAGATCTTTAGAACAAAACAAAATAGAGAAACTTGAAAGGAGAGACGGTAGAGAAAAATGATACTAAAATGTTTAATGTCAGATTCTAATATTAAAAAGTATTTAAATTTAACTTTTTTCAAGTGGATAAGTTGACATAACTTTCTTTTTTGCTTGAAAATTTTTATGACTGAATTTTAAAAGGTAACAGTATGGGAGATTAATTTTAATGTGGAAAACGAAACTTTCATTCTCCTATTATATAGATGAATTCCATTTGTTTTTGAAGTTTTCAAAAAATTACTTCCAGGGTCGCCTGCGTGGCTTAGTCGGTTAAGCGTCCGACTTCGGCTCAGGTCATGATCTCACAGCTGGTCAGTTTAAGCCCCGTGTCAGGCTCTGTGCTGACAGCTCAGAGCCTGGAGCCTGCTTCCAATTCTGTCTCCCTCTCTCTGCTCCTCGCCCACTCAGAGTCTCTCTCTCTCTCTCTCTCTCTCTCAAAACTAAACAAACATTAAAAAAATTTTTTAAATTACTTCCAAATTTCTATTATAAGTGCATATTAACCCAGAGAGGTCACTTATTGTCTCCGAATTCAGTTCCTGCATCAATAAAGTCCCTCCGATTTAGACTAAATATTAAGGGAGATGCAAAGTCCAGTCCCGTGCACCCTATCTAGTCTAAGAGGTCATTCACTCACCTGGGGTTTTGGCAGGCACTCTCGGCAGTGTCTCCATCCCTCGTCACATGGGGGACTTTTTCATCTTTCAAATGCTCCTCTGCTTCCTCTAGGGGGCTGCTTTTGGAAGAGAAGTGTTCAGGTTCTCCAACACACTCTTCTCTCTGATCTGTTTCAATTTGAATTAAAGGTACATCCCTGGCGCACAGGGACCACCTGCTGTGGCTTACAGGGACAGACTCATGGCATGAAGACGTTTCCTTTTTAGAATCTAAACCCTTGTGGTTTGTAAGAGGAAAAGCTTTGCTCCGAGCTGACACTGGGGGATGCTTGCTTTCGGTAATGGAGTCTTTCCTCGGGTTATCGATGGACTCCTGCGCCAGAAGACCAGGCCCACTTTGCGCCCTGCTCGAAGATGATCTGTTTGCACATCTCTCCGTGTGCCTGGGAGAGCCACCAGGAACAGGCTCAGCTGCCTCAGCATCATCCGCTATAATTTTGTTCTTTCGCATGAGGGCCTTGATGGAGTTTGCCCACGTCTCGTGAATTAACATGTTGGTGATCTGGTCGGTTCCACCTCTGCGATACAAGCAAGAGTCAGATTTGCAGAGACCGGATGAGGAAGTGCTACTGACTGGATGTACACTTAGGAAATCTTGCTGGCTGTTTTGAGTAAAGCCATCTAAGGAGCTGGCTTTGATGGGCGCATTCACCGTTAGCCTGGCACCCAGGGGTCTGCTATCTGGCATGGATGACTGTCTGTAACACAAGGGGGATCGCAGAGAAGGTGACAGTAGGCCCACTGTCCAATCCTGGCTGCTTCGTCTGGAGGACGTGCTGTCCTTGTTTTCTCTTTCGATGTCCCTCAGCATGTACCTGTAGAATTCCTCTGTTATGCTCTCGGTGCTGGACTGCTTAGAGGGACAGCTTGACCTCACGCTGAGGTGCTCATTTTTACGGCACGCCTGTTGCACGGCTGAGTTCAGGATGCTGCTGGCATTCTTGCCTGCATAGTAATCCAGCAATAACTCAAACCCTCTTCCTTCATTTTCCATCTGGTTCACCATGAACCTGGAAAACTCCTCAGTGATGCTCTCGCAGCTGGACTGCTTGGAGACAGAGCTGGCCCTGCTAACTGGCTGACTTAGGGTACTCATGAAACCCAGGCTACTTACGTAGGCCCTGGCGTTGGAGTCCTCCTCTGGAATGCTTTCACAGCTGGAAGCCTGCAGCCGGTTCCACCTGTCTCCACTGAGTAACCGGTTCCGGGGATAGCTCTGGGCTTGCCAGACGCCGTCCACCACGGAGAACTCTGTTAGGTTCATGATCTTGGCTGCCACTTCGTCTGCAAAAACACTGACCGAATCCGGGATGTCCTCAAGGTTCACGGACTCGTCCACCACCCTGTTCATTAGCTTCTCTTTAAGCTCCGGGTGCTCATCCGTTTTCCTCTTGATCTCGCTGAGCCGTGGTGGTTTGTGCTTCCTCACTGTGGCCCCGCTGGTCTGGCTTTCCTTCTTCCTCTTCAAGGATCGGCAGGATACGTTCGGGGTAACCAGAAACTCATTCCCTCTTTTCCATGCACAAAACCAGGGTTGTTTTCCATTGGAGTTGTCAAGGCAAACTGCTGCGATTTCGGTTGCCATGGAGACAATCATCTCTGCTAATTCTTCCGCAAAGTCTGTAATGCAGTATAGGTCTGCATGTTTTGCCTGTAGCGTGGATTGAGCAGGAAGGGGGAAGTCATTCCCTAACAAAGACAGGTTAACTTGAATTTCACTGTTCAGACGTGAGGTATGATTATACTTCTCCTGGGCGTTTATACTGACACTGTCCTTGGCATCCTGGGAACCTCTGCTGTACTTGCCCACTGTCAGCGTCTTCTCTCTCTCTGAAGAGGCTCTGAACTCATTCTCATTGTAACTGGGTGTCTGATGAGGCTTGTCTGGATCTTCTCCCACTGTTACTTTTAGATCTATTTCCTTGGGGGGTGTTTTAGCAGGTGAAGAATCTGGCCCCCTGGGACTACAGGGCAATTCAGACTGCAGCGTGGGATTCTTGAAGAGGCCTGGCTTTGCTGGGCCCCTCCTATCTTGCTTCAGATAAATGTCATCTAGAAGATCATTGGTAACAAGACTGGTACTCTGTGGATTGCCACCAAGTGGCTGGCCGCTGGAATGTTCGGTGGCTCTTGTCCACGCTAGACTAGCAGTCTGATCAGGTGGCTGGCAGCCCAAGTCCGTTTCCCTCCATCTGATGGTCTCATTAGCAAGGACAGTGGGCCATTCACCAAGCTGTACAAAATGCCTCATCTTCTTGAATGTGAAGCATATCACACTGAAGAGCAGTTGGTTTGTACTTTCCATCAAGGTCTCAAGAGTCTCAGATGAATGTCTGCTAACATTGGGATCAATTGTTCTGTTTCTCTGGAGAGCTTCATCAATGGAATGCTCCAGAATAACATTGGAGAGGGTCTGTGCCAGCTCATTCCTGAGGACGTTTTCTGAGCACAGGGTCTGAGGCTTTGAAGCCGTTTCTAGGATTCTCCTGCTCACTGATTCCATGAGGTCTCCGATGCTGCTGTGGGGGTCGGGCCTTGTTAAAACCAGCGCAGCCTCCTGGAGTAATACCTGTGCGATGGCCTCGCTTCCCAGCTCCATGCTGCTCCCTGTCGCCAAACCGCAGAGTGGGGGGACTGCTGCATGAGCCTCAGTTGCACACGAGAGGCCACTCGGAGCCTTCGCCTCTTCCGATTCGCCGAGGCCACAAACAGCAATGGCGCTCGCCACCTGGGTCATGCCACACAAGGCAGATGGAAAGGAGTATTCGCTGACAGAAGGTTCCTTGAGGACTTGGGATATTTGACTTTGCAGGTGGTCACTGCCTCCCAGTGGACGGGGTGAAACCAAAGATTCTTGCTCCATTTTAAGTCTCTCTGTGGCCTGTGGACTGGAAATAGTTCCAATCACAGTGGCCGCGCAAGCTAACGCAACTTCCAGAGCGCTCTGAGGGTGTCTGCCGGAGTTCTCTCCAGAGAGGACCCCTGAGGTTTCAACAGAGACTTCCATCTCAGGCCACGAGGAGATGCCTGCCTCAGGGGCAGCATCGCTGCCATCTGGACTCTGAACGATGACGATTTGGGGGAGCTCATTCCATGACCGTGGGACCACCATACCTTTTGTGGAACAGCCACTGGGTAGCAGAGTGCTCCCTACAGAAACACCGACTGCAGATTCCTGGGGTGGCGTAGGCTGCGACTGAGATAACCGAATAAACGCATCCTGTAGCACGGATTCTGCTAAATTTGTGGCATACTCCCCAGCGGTGACCTCTCCATCTTGGTGGGGAGGAAGAGAGTTTGTGCCGTCTTCAGGGTCCCCTGGGTCTAAGCTGCTGCCATGCTCAGTGAGGGTACCGTGCACGGAAGGCCCACCTTTCTTAACCATCCCAGGGAAATGAACATCCCCTGGAATATATGGTGCCTGTGACTTTTCCACATGCCCTTTATAACTTTCTGAGTAATAGTAATTTCTGGCTGGCTTCTCATTCTGCACAGCTTTGCCTGTCCACTCTGATGGCTCGGCTGATGAATCGAGGCTCTGTAAAATGGTGCCTTCTACTTTTTCCAGAGATCCTTCTGCTTTAATCACTGTGGTATGAGATCTGCTAATGCATTTGTCTTCTGAAGGATAAAGCAACTTTTTCTTGTTGTCATTCCATTCCTCCTGAGTGACTTCCTTTGGTTTTTTACTTTCCAAAACATGAGCGGAGGCATTTATATTTTCATAACCTGGTGAAGACAAAACGAGGGCCCACTATTACTTTTTGGATGGCAGGATCTCATGAGTCCAAAATAACAACCACTTTCTAAACATGCCTTAAAGCATCAGTTTCCCCCTTGCCTTCCGCCCCCCAAAAACAACATTTAGAGTGTTCCTTCAAGACAAATGCATCTGCAAAGGTTTCTGAGTTTCGGTATGGAACCCTGCTCGACAAAATGGCTCTCAACGTGGGATATGAATGTAAGCGCTAGAGTGGGAGAAGAAGGCAGTGGGGAGACAAGTGCTGGTCACCTTTCTCCACCGGAAAAGGACCCCAAACAGTTGCATTTTAGAGCTTCCCAGTGCATACAGAAGGAGAAGGAAGGATGTCTACAGCAACCTCCATAGCAAGCCTTGTTGCAAACATCCGCTCTCAAGTTTGGGTAGGACTTGTCCCAGAGAGTGTCAACAGCATCTGGGATATCCCTTCTTCGGTGGCTAAGGGTGGGGAAGAGGAACACCTTGTTGACTGGACTGTATTGATCAGTCAATCAAAACCATGAATAAATGAGTGCTAAGTACTCTCCCGGGCTACTTCCTTCTGTCCTTCCCATAATTACAGGCAAGTATCATAAATATATGTAGCTACATAGCGTAACTATAACAGTGTTAGAGGCACTATTGTCCTCCCAAGTAATGGATGAAGAAACTGGGGCTCCAAAGGACTAGGTAATCAGCTCAGGCTTCACAGCCTCAAAGAGGCGGTGCTAGGATTCAGGCCCGTTTAAGTGGGCTCAACTTTAATAGGTAGCTTTATGGAAGTCTTCGGGCAGATAACTTTCCTCCCTGTGATAGTCTTTGTCTCCTGGCGGGTGGGAGGATGTCCTCAGCATCCCCAAGGCATCTTCAGGAAGACGGAGTCACCCAACCATTAGATCTGAGTGCATTAGTCAGCATCCTCACTAGTGTTCCCTTATCCTCTCCTTCCCTCCCTAAACTCAGTAAGTGATGAGATGGCGATGTGTCAGCCAAACTGATGTGGCCTGAAACTCTCCTGGAATGGCGCTCATTTTCCCAGGGTGACTAATTTCAGGATGCGCATGTGTTTTCTCGGGAACTTCTCACCATTCCTGTATTCTTCCCCCTCAGTTTCCTCCTCCAGGTGCTCCGATGCGGTGAGAAAGTCTTCTTCAATTGAAGACAGGGAACAGTTTGTGTCATCTTCCACCTTCAGGATGTTTGTTTCCAGCTGGAGCTGCCGTTCCTGCACCAGTTCCAGACCGATCAAAAATTTGTTGATTTCAAAGATGATGCAGTTGGTACTGTTGGCCCTGTTCCCTCTCGCACACTGGACCAAGCAGATATCTGGCAGCCAAGGACACTGAAAGTAGAGAGGAAAAGATGCATTTATTGAAAGACAAAATAAAAAAAAAAAAACCCATTGCTTCTGACCTTTCTTCTTCTACTAATCTTCCTTGTTATAAAGAGTGGGGGACATTTAAAATACTTGGTCTATCTTCTGGGCTGAGATTGATGGATTGCTTGAAAAAAAAATTCAAGTGATATTTGGGAACACAGGGTACCTAGGAGAAAGTCTGGCTTCGGGGAAAATAGACCAGCTGTATCACATATTTTTGCTCTCTCCTGTCAAAGCAAAAATTGCACTGGGCAAAGTTAAACAGGTTAAGGGAGACTTTCTTCGGAGCTCTTAAAATAGGGAAAGAAGGGCCAGAACTGAGTTGGACCCCAACTGCGCTGAAACAAGAGGCAGTAGAGTTTTTAAGAGCTGGTGTCGGAGGCCCGCAGGCCATCTGTGCTTGCTAACTGGCTTTATCCAAAGGAAAAGTAAGTGTACTCGTATCTGCACGGCAAGAGGTAGTTTTGCAAATCGGAGGAAGGATCCTACTAACGGTAGGCTCCCATCCTTCCACCGAGAAAGGGACACTATCCTGTTTGATGATCTTCTTTCAGAGACGGTCCCCCGGTCTTTGAAAAGGACACTCCTGGGTTGTAAAACAGGCATGGGACTTTTCAAAATGATTTCCATCTCAAAGGGACAGAGAAATAATTCATAACGAGTTTTCTAAAGTGAATGTTCTAAGAAAAGGGCAGTCAGTGCCTATCAGGAAGAAGCCTGCCTGAAGTCTGGTCAAGCTGAGGGGAATGTTAAGACCGTCTTGGGCACCCTTCTTGATTAAACTGAGTCCCCGTTTCTCAGGCCGGTGTCTTTTTCTGCCTTGGTGATGCTCTAGCCATTATCTACAGTTAGAATTTATAATGTGTATGGCTCGTCTGAAGAGGCAGACACAGTGAGATATGAAGCAATCCATTGGAAGTGCACTAATTATCTCTAAAAGGCCAGCATGTGAGGAAAACAGTGATAAGGAGGCTCAAATCATTGGATGGTGTCCAGTGGGATCTGTTAATTTTGTTCTCTTCTAGCGTTACAGACCATGTCCCTATTCGCCACTACACATTTTCACTATTCATATTGTTGTTCATTAGAAGAGGAATAAAAGTTTCAATTGCTTGTGCGCAGGTTACTAGTAAATTGCAAACATACGTTGTGCATCAGGATTTTTGTTTTTTTAAAAGGAACAATATGTTCATTTATAGTAATTTTCAACAGAAAGTTCTTTGAATGGAAATAAGAGTTAGTGGGCGGGAGGAAGCTAAATAAATTTATATCTCAGTGGAATCTGAAATGTTTGGGGGAAATATTTTATGTCCAAATGTTTGTCTTACAGAAAGGATCATTTAAATCATGTGCTTTCTAGGATCAGAGTTAATTTTGTCATTTTGGAATTCTTGAACGTGGATACATGTGTGTGTGAGGGGTAAGTGTGTGCACACACAGAGAAATACATGTACACCGACATCCATATTGTATTTCTGAAAGTAGTATATATTTTTCAGTCTTTTTGGTTGAATATTATAATTAGAGTAATTCTAGAACAGATGATTGCAAAATGAAAAATCCAACCATTCTCCAAGGGGTCCAGGAGGCTCAGAAATGGAATTGATCTATGTGCTTATGCAATTAGGTCTGTTTTTCAAAGAAGGGGGGGTCATAACCTTATTTTTTTTTAGAGTTTATTTGCTTTGAGAGAGAGAGAGAGAGAGAGAGAGAGAGGGAGAGAGAGGAGAAGGGGCAGAGAGAGAGGGAGAGAGAATTCCAAGCACAGTCTGCACTGTCAGTTCAGAGCCTGATGCAGGGCTTGATCCAATGAACTGTGAGATCATGACCTGAGCCCAAATCAAGAGCCAGATGCTTAACTGACTGAGCCACCCAGGTGCGCTCTGACCTTACTTTTCAAAGTGTGGGTTGTATGTAGGCCAGCAGCCTTGGCGTGGTTTGGCAGTTTATTAGATGTGTATAATCTCAGGACCTACCTCGGAGGTACTAAATCAGAATCTGCATTTCCCAGAACTCTTTTGGTGATTCCTACATGCCTTAACATTTGAGAAGTAATGGTCTGTAGCTTTTATGGAAGTCACAAAGGGTCTGAGATCCCCCGCAATAATGAGGAACAATTGTAGAGTTAACGGTAGCTGGCGTGATTAATTTTATTTCCACTGAATTCAGACATAATACACTAACTTGAAATTTATAACATACTTTTTGGGTGTGTATTACATGCAAGGTATGCTGGTAGGTACAAACATGAATTAGATAATTCCCCAGGGGGGTGGGACACAATATATTGCCGGTGGATAAGGCATGAATAAAAATAATTACAAAGTGGAACCAAATGAAGTTATTTGTAGGTAAAAATGGCTGCGTATTGGCCATTTCATATCATTCAGATTAAGTACATATGACATAAGGTTTTATATGTTGTTGCAGGAACCAAAAGAGATATTAATGAACAGTTAAATAACACCTCAAAACAAATGTAGAGAAAGACTTGTATTAAAAGTGCAATGTTCCATGGCTATTGCACTCCTAGAAAGAAAACATATTTTCTTAACAAGCTTCTTGCAAGTAAATAAACATCCTGAGAGTCTTAGGGAAATGAAGACCAAACACTATAACCTGCAAAATAATGGCAGGTATTATTATATAATTTTATTGTAGTCTATTAAGTGTTTTGAATATCTTGTTACCTTCAACGCAAACAATATTTCTGTGAGGCTGGTGATGTCTTTGCTCTTTTATAGAGGAGAAATCAGGCACAGAAAGACTTACTGGTCCTTTCAAGTCTACACCAATATAAAGTGGAAAGCCAGCACTGCAATCCAGATCTGTTGGATTCCTGTGTCCTTTCCAATTCTCCCCATGACTTCCTGGCCCAGTCAGCAAAACTCCAATATTAACCAAAAATGTGCAAGCTGGAAAGAAGGGTGGTTTGCACCTGGACCTCCTCAAACGCACACATGCTCAGTAAAATTATGTGTTCATCTCATAGAAAGGTCAGCCACAGGAGGAGTAGATCTTATTATTGTACGTAATAAGCATCTCAGAAAAATTTTCTTCTGTAGGAAAATAATTGCTTTTACTTGTACTTTCCACTTAGTATTTTACTTGACCATGGGCATGATGATTTTCTTTAAGAATTTTTTAGAGTCTTAGCCGAAGGCTCTTAAGGATGGCCCGAGGAAGGAAAATGTACCTGTTGTGGCAATTTCTTATTTGTTGCTGGCTGGTATGTATTCATTAGTCTTTTGAGACGCAGGCACATGGATAGTTGTGCAATGTGTTTATATACATTTAATTGTATCCAAAAGAAATAACATCTGAGAGAATGCCAGACTAAGTAAGTTGCTCTTTGAGAGCAAGATGTCCGACTCATTTACCACTGTATCCTTAACCCCCTATGCTTTGCACTTTTCCAGGTGCATAGTAAATATTTGTTGAATGAATGAATAAAGTATTCGATAAATATTTTCTTACATTTTTTCCAGTTGTACAACTGTAAAATAACATAGCAATATAAAAAAGCATGTGAGTCATTTGCTGAGCTGGAATGAAGACATTGAATAATCATTTCGTAATCATCTATGAGAAGATAACAAAACTCCTCAGGAGGCAGAAAAGGCACTCTGTACACAATCCCTTGCAACAATATTACACTTCTCTTCCCCAAAGGAGAATGGATGATTACTCCTGGTGTATATAGTACTCCACCCTGGTACCTTATTTTGCTTTAAATGAAATTTTCTTTCTACTTCACCTTCCTTCAACTTTTTGGACATGGAAAGAAAATACAATTTGCATTTGAATAGTCCTTCCCAAGGTGCCTTCATGTTATTTTATGAAAATCACTGTGACTAGTCTCTGAGAATGGAGAAAAGGTATTTTTTTAAATCTCCATGTTATAGAATAGGAAATTACAGTTGAGAGAAGTGAGGTAATTTGTTATCTGCACCACTGAACATCTTTGGCATTGTAATTTCCAGGGTCAAAGGTGCCAAGCAGCTCGTTTATTGCCTTCTTCACAGGGTCAGTGGGAACAATAGCTATGCCCTTGGGACTGCCCTTAGACTCCCCCCATTAACCTAGCTCATGCTGCCTCTGCCAATATCTCCATGTTTACTTAGGAATCAACAGGTAACTGAATTTCTTGAGGCGAGGCAGCCAAATTGAGACTATCCCTAAAGAATTAGGTACCGGCTATGGTTGGCTAAGATGGGATTCATTATTGATATGCTGCCCCAACATTGCTAATTTATTAAAACACATGGATTGTGGTATCTGAAAAACGATGTAGGCCTTTGGGAGACGGCAGAAGGGTGAAGTGATATATAGGAAGCGATGAGGCCTTTTAGAAGAGGGAAGTAGGAAACATTTAAGAGTGTTATAGCTCACAGACAATTCTTGACGACTCCTAGGAACAAATATGCAGAATTTTAAGCATGCTTTTGATGGATGACATTTAATAAGTCCTGATAATTTAACTTTCCCTAACCCCAATTAGTATCTGTGTTGTTTTTGTGACCCAACGTCACTCAATCTTCTTCTGTTTCTCATAGCCTGTGAAGCATCATTTTCTGGCTCACCCACAATGCCAGTGATTTCCATGGAGTTAATTCACCTAAACCCTCTGAGGTGATCACGTGACCCAGCCTGGCCAATCTGAACACTGCAATCCTCAGGCCATAGTGAGTGGTTGAGAGATAGGCACATGACACATGAGAGCCAATAGAACACAATCAGACTTTTACTGTTAGGCACCCGGGGGGGACATTCACTCTTGCTCAACTTGAACCCAAAGGGAATGGGATTCTTATGGGAAAAGACTGATAACCATTAAAGAGAGAGAAAGCCGGAAAGAGGTCACAAGGGGAAATTCATGTCCTGATGGCACTGTTCAAGTCCCTATAATAATCTATCATTAGTTTTTTCTTTTTAAATGTTTTATTTATTTTTAAGACAGAGAGAGACAGAGCATGACTGGGGATGGGGCAGAGAAAGACGGAGACACAGCAACTGAAGCAGGTTCCAGGCTCTGAGCTGTCAGCACAGAGCCCGACACGGGGCTTGAACTCACGAACTGTGAGATCATGACCTGAGCCGAAGCTGGACACTCAACCAACTGAGCCACCCAGGCGCCCCATCTACCCACTAGTTTTTTTAGTTACATTCTTTTCATGCATGAGCCAATTTTCTGTCATGTTTAATTAGAAATCCTAACAGGCTTGGTACAGAAATACTTTTAAAACTCAGTTTTGGAAATTACTTTTGGTCATCATAGTTTTGCTCAATATAAAGAGAAGGCACTTAGGGCCATTTCTGTTTTCTCTTTCCAGATGATTAATTTTCTCACTAAGAATATAAATTATGAGACAGACGGAGAAGTTTGGTTCTAGTCTTTTTAAAAAAAAATTTTTTTTTTCAACGTTTATTTATTTTTGGGACAGAGAGAGACAGAGCATGAACGGGGGAGGGGCAGAGAGAGAGGGAGACACAGAATCCAAAACAGGCTCCAGGCTCTGAGCCATCAGCCCAGAGCCCGATGCGGGGCTCGAACTCACGGACCGCGAGATCGTGACCTGGCTGAAGTCGGACGCTTAACCGACTGCGCCACCCAGGCGCCCCTAGTCTTAATTACCAAATTGTAATAGGCTGTGTGCAGATTTTTACGAAGCATCCGGGGTAGATGCTAGAAATAGTGGGTACGTTTCCGAGTTTTTTGGTATTTCAAAGGACTGAAGAGTAAAAGAGTATTTTAAAATTTTCCAGCAAAACTAAAACCCAAGAAAGAACAATTTGGAGGAAAGCAAATGTTCACCATTTTAATCCGTAGTGGTGTTATGTGTCACTATCAGCATATCTTATTTGGGAAAAATCAACAATCTTCAATATGATATGCCTCTAGAAATCATTACATAAATATATATATATATATATATATATATATATACACACACGTATATGTGTATATATATATACACACATATATACATATGTGTATATATATTTGTAAATTGAACAATTTATAATTTAAAAAATTTGTCTTCAAGTAAAGAATGTTATAATGATTTCTCTAATAATAATGAACATCAGTACACTGAATGAGAAAAATAGCATCTTAATTCCTGCTTTATTTTTAGTAACATTCATTTCCTCTAGGAATTTTACTCTTTAAGTCTAGGAAACTCACATTCCACCCACGGGGCTGCAATCCTGTATTTATTACCATGACTCATTTGGTATATCCTAAGAAATAAATAACATCCAGAAAGAAGAAATGCTGGGATGCTGGGACCATATAGTATGAATTAGAATTTTTGTATTGTATGTGAAACAGAAGATGAATCTAATTTTTTTAAATGTTTCTTTTGAGAGACAGTGAGAGCATGAGTGAAGGAGGGGCAGAGAGAGAGAGAGAGATGAAGAGAGAGAATCTCTAGCAGGCTCCAAGCTGTCAGCGTGGAGCCCGACATGGCACTCCGTCTCCCAACTGTGAGATCGTGACCTGAGCCAAAATCAAAAGTCGGACGCTTAACTGACTGAGCCACCCAGGCGCCCCAAGATGAGTCTATTTTTGACAATCTAATGGATTTGTAGAAAACCAAGCTAAGCTGTCAATTCCCAGCATGTCTGCTCTAGTTTAAGTACAACTTAACAACATGAACTTGAGAATATAATAAATGGTAGGAGTTGAGGTAAGGGAAGCTCTGTCAAACTCTGAGTGGCATATTTAGAAGAAACACAGATAAAGACTGCTTTTGATTGCAAAGAAATTTTTGAGTCCTAGGCTATGGAAGCTTAAATGTGGCATCTATTTGAAGTCCGTACTGACTTGTGCCAAGAGCTGACCGTAGATAACTTATCTCTGATGAATATTTTATCAAGAGTTTACATCTCTTACCTGTGAAACTTCAAAATCTGCCTGGAGATTTCCGGATGTTAACCCACTTAGAAGAACAATTTCATTTTCTTTTGGCTGCTGGACATTCATGGAGCTGATAAGTTTTGGAAGATCTGGTGAAACGTTGACCAATTTCTGTAGAGGAAGAATCTGTATTAGTTTAGATGATTTCTTTTCACCTCCAAAACACTACCCCCAAACTACTTACTTGCAAAAATAATATACCTGAATAACTGCACCAATGATAGATTACTTAATCTACTAAGATTATTACTAGACAAAGTGTGAAGCTGAAACTTGAAGGTTCACACTGGAATAGGAAATTACTTAAAGCTTTAAAAACTCTTTGCTTCTAAATATGCCAAAGTAGACATTTAATAATTACTGTCACACCACAGGTATGCATAGTAGGGGTTTCTTCTTTCCTTTAAAACTTGGAATGAGAGACTTGTCTAATCATCATCTGTTTTAACAAAGTCAATAATCATATCAATAATAAAATAATTTCTAACATTAATTTTGCTCTATGTACCAGGCACTGTGCTAAACTCTGCACACATGTTACATTTTAGTACATTTAATCCCCACAACACCCCCACCCCGATTAGGTACCATTACTACTTTTTTTATTTTTGCACATAAGTAGCCTGAGGCCCAGAGAAGATGAGTTCACACAAGTTTAGGCAGCTAAGTGGATGCCGGGTTTCTACCCTTAGCTGTAGAAGAAGACTGTCTCAAATCACTCACATAAATCTTCAAACACACAGTCCTTAAGATGCCAACTTGCTTTGGTCCTTCCTTCTCTCTCTTTGACTCTGCACCACAAGTCCCCTAAACGAAATGATATGTACACTTTTTTTTAATCCCTCCAGCACTACACGGATGAATGACGTCGGAAGCTCTGTGGAAGTCTGTAATGGATAAGCTGTATGGGCAATTGGGTTTGAGAAGCTTCAGGTGAAGCACTGGCAAGGGAACAAAAAACAAAACGAAACAAGAGCGCCTGGGTGGCTCAGTGGGTTAAGCTTCCGACTTCGGCTCAGGTCATGATCTCGCAGTTCGTAAGGTCGAGCCCCGCATCCGGCTCTGTGCTGACAGCCTGGAGCCTGCTTCAGATTCTGTGTCTCCCTCTCTCTCTGCCCCCACCCCTGATTGCACTCGTCTTTCTGTGTCTCGAAAATGAATAAGTGTTAAAAAAAAAACCCAAAACGTTACAGGAATAACTCAGTCATCACAGGCCGGCTGTTCTGTGATGTCAAGCTGCAAATAGTGTGTTACTCTACCGTATTATGCCAAAGAGTAGGGTCAAACCATCTTCAGCTTTGGGCATGAAAGGATAATCAATTCACACCAATTAATTCTTCCTATAGGACCCCTTGTTAGCTCTCGTTCCAAAGGACTGAGGGGTCCTTCAACGTCTTGCACGTTGTCAAGGATTTACGTCGGGATCATCACAACCTCCGATGAGCCTGGAATATGTGGCTGCTGGAGAACGCACAAGTGCGAGTCCCAGATGAGTGTAGGGCTGGGAAACCAAGGTTAGAGACCAAGCGTTTCCTCAAAGCAGCAGGAAGGAGCAGACCTGAGACCCGCAGAGAAGGGCTGGTTGGTATCCAGCAGGTTGGGAAAAGCCTTGGAGACATCATCTCAGGCGGGGTGTTTGAGACAGGATGAAGACGGGGGCTGAAAAAGCCACTATCAGGCCCCGTGGGCAGGAAAAAGCACCTGCTTGGAGAGCGGCCCTGTTATCTTGGGAAAGCAAGCATCACAAACATAAGGAAGGCAAACTGTGGGAGGTGGCAGGGAGACGGTCAGGGAATGGGCCGTGATGACACCATCCAGCTGAAGAGTCTCCAACTAAACGAGCATCATTTATGGAAAACGTCACGTCAGCTGTCTGGTCAGTGTAGGCAGCCCTTGTCACGAGCTCCCCGGGAGTCCGTGCTCCCGGCATTACCTGCTGCAGGTGCTCCGTGCTGCACGCATCCTTGTTCACATCCAGGTTCACGAAGCAAACCTGAGAAAGAGGGCAAAAACAGCCATGTAAGTGAAAAACCATGGCAGTTCTTTTAGAAGAACGCAGGGATCCATTTGGGGAAAATGATGTAAGAATCCCACACATTTTGTGTAGTTGATCGGATACAGAAATGGCCGCTGTACCTTTGGGCTTCTATGCAAACCTCTAAGGCCCTCCTCACAAATCCCTGGATTCCACAGAGCGCCCCTTTCCGTTCGTGGTACAACAAACCAGACAGTCTCTTTGTATTCAAGTCCATGTAAGTCACAACAAAATCTGCAGGCTTACACAGGGTTAGCAAAACTCATGAAATAAGAAAAAAGACTTGGTCCCCCTTGAAACCTCTGTTTATAAACGCAGTGAACGTTTCTCTCCATTTCTCCCTTTTTTCCCCTCATCTTCCTTTTCTCTTCTCATTTTTAATACAGTGCAGGAAAAGTGGATTTCTCTTTGTTTCAGGGTTTTAGCTGATTTATTTAATCCGGCTGTACAGTTTGCCTCTTTTTAGCCATCTTAAATAAGTGTCTGAATAGGCTGAGTATGAAAACAACAGTGACAACATTAAAAAAGAATTCAGAACGACAGTAAGAGAATGGTTGTAGTTTAAAGCTCAAACACAGCACAAGAAAAAAAATCTACTATGGGCATTCACATGGAGATGGGGAGAAGAAAACTTAGAGAACAAAGAGGTGAGATGTATTCTTTTTTCCCTCTGAAATTAATTAATGAATTTGAGTATAGTTGGCACACAATGTTTTATCAGTTTCAGGTGTACACAGTGATTAAAGTTTCTTATTCTTAACAAGTTAATTTGCCCATCTAAAACTGATAAAATTAATTATTTGGATATTTAGTCAGACATTTGGGTCAATTCCTGGAAGCATACGCACTCTTCTGATTTCAGTTAGTTGTCCGGGGTCATGATTTCCTAGAGTCCATCTTTTTCTTTTTGAGGTTTAATAAGAAAACATAATTGAAAGACTTTGGGTAAGTCTTTAAGAACTACGTAGTTAGGGGCGCATGGGGGGCTCAGTCAGTTAAGTGCCCAACTCTTGATTTTTGCTCAGGTCATGATCCCGGGGTTGTGGGATAGAACCCTGTGCTGGGCTCTGCACTGAGCATGAAGCCTGCTTAAGACTTTTTCTCTTTCCCTTTCCTCCTCTCTCCAGCTTGCTCTCTCTCTCTCTCTCTCTCTCTCTCTCTATATATATATAAAATAAATTAAAAATAAAAAAAGAACTACAATAGTTATACATTGCTAAATTTTTGTAAAGATCACTACGTTTTACTTCCCATCAATGGAAGGTTTTCCGGATTTCTGAACTCACAATATCCTTGCAGCATATCCCTAGGATACACTATCTGCTTGTTAAGAACAACTTGATGGGCATTTGGGGGAAGAAAGTGCATGAACCGCCATCCACATTCTCACTTAGAGGTTCTCCTCCTTCGGGTTAATAAGATGGCTAAATAGGGAGGATTTAGCTCTGGGCATGAGCTCCTGTAGGGGCAGCACAAATGGAGACATAAATAGTAGATGGTGCTTGGAAGGAGTGCACGGCTTAGAGCAGTTTGCAAATACTCATGCAATAATCGGAACTTTGCCCTTGGAAGACTGGTTCAATGTCTATGAGTCCTCAGGGGCGTTGACTAACATGCAGCTAGAACTGCAGTTGCTGAATTGATTAGACGGTTTTCCATTCACCTTGAAGAAAGGTGGGTGACCTTGACTCGGGCATCACAAGGCTCTTCTTTCACAGTGGCAGAGGACAAAGCAGAAACCAAAGCAAGGCATCTATAATAACTACTTCTCTGCGCACTGATACTGTCTTTTGTTCTCTGAAGATGGGCTTTCTTTTTATTCATTCTGGATTGTCATGTAAAACTCTGCCTACATTTGGAAGAAACCCTTCACACTTGCCAGCTGGGCCGAGACTAGAACAAAGTCAGACAAAAACCAATCGCTTGCTTACGCTTGGCACACGGATCTTTCCAGATCTTGGTGGGAGAGGATGATCTAGGTTTCTAAGGGCCTGATGTACATACAAGGTCTGAAGACCTTTTTACAAAAAAGAGTAACAAAATCAAAAATCCTAAATTACAAGTGAAAGTGGATACTCATTTATTTAGAAGAAGAAATCATTCACAAATACCAAATTTAAAAGAGGTAACAAACATCACAAACATGACAACTTCCAGAAAAAAAGATATTTTAACTAATCTACTGCCTAATACACCTCCATAATACTTTTTATCTACATTTCTGGCTTCATATGATGGTAGTTTTATAACATTTTCCCTGGATAGAAAAGAAACAGAATTCAGTCTTAACCTAATACTGTTGGTAGATTTTTTCAGCTTCACTAAGTTTTATTGATAATATTTTATACATTTTCCAAGTTATCAAATTCAGTGGGAAACCACTCTAAAAGTTCTTTCATATAGGAGTCGTTGTAGGCATGCTCATTACTTGTTATACCGCTACAAGTCTACAAACATGAGAATTTGGCTATATTCTCTTCTTGTTTGATTCTCATTTAGAAAGAAAAAAAAAGGCACGGTGCAATTATAATTTTTCAATGTTATCAAACAAATTTCCTCCAGGAGAGAACTTCTGTGTTGACCAGGCATCAGTGAGAAACCAGTCTTGTCTTTATAAGTTCACATGTCTGATGACGGGAAGAATTCTCCGCAGAATAGCTTCTGCCCTATAAACCTTGTTTTCTCTCCACTATCTATATATTTCCAGTAGGACGTATTTACATTGTGAAACCATTTCTGACCTGACACCTACATGTCTCAATCAATGTCTGGCTGAGTTGCCACTGTCGATGATAAAGGTATTCCTGGGAGCCATTATTACATGTGTATGGCTAGCAATTGCCTAACTATATACAAAAGTGACCTCAAATTGTATAAAAATATCTTATGTATACACAACCCCACTCAATTTCCTTCAAGTCAGACCCCACACGTCTGCGGTCACTCCAATGACCCTCAACATAATAAAAGGTAGTGGGGAGTCTCATTGGAAGGAGATCATTGTAGTAAAAAGATCTTCCTTTTGAAAATTTTACAAGCATATAACCACTTGAGCTTGTGGGAGGGGGGAATGGGCATATGAGGAGCCCTGACTTTTAGGCTCTGAATTTTAGGCTTTAGAGTGAACCCAGTTCATGCCAAAATGGTCTGTGTAATGGTGTTCCTCTCCAAATGTTCACTCTCTGAGGCCTTGGTTTCCTTATGGAGATGTAGGCACCCACTAAGACCGAACTCCAAGTGAAGAATGTGACAAGCTTGTGTCCAGAAGAGTTGGGGAAAGGTGGGTATGGGGTAAGAGGTTGTGCAAGGTGAGGAGAGGGGGAAATGCGCCTCATTTCCGAGGGGTGTGGTTTTGGTGCTGGGTTCTGAGAAGACACACAATGCGCGTTATTGTTCTTGTTCTCAGGGAGTTACGGTCTGGAGGCAGAACACATTCTTTGAATCTATGAAGAATATTATTACAGAAGTGACAAGCCTGCCATTACAGACATGGTGGAGAAGGAAAGTGGGAGAATGTGGTCAACCACCAATGGCATTGCAGAGAAGGCCGGATTTGAGGGGCGCAGGCAGGACAAATTTACAATGGCGCAAACCATGAACGGATGATCTCCCCCACCGCCCCCATCAGCCCCAGCTGAGTGAGGGCGAGAGGCTCTGAATTAAGCACAAGGTGAAGAGAGGGAGAAGAAAGGGGCTGCGACGACCAAGGTGAGGGGCACATCCTAGAGAAATTCCAGAAGTGAAGCCCAAGTTGGTGAGCAATACGCCTTTCTTTCTACGCTATGAAGAATCTGGGCATAACTCAGCAGACTTTTTAAAGAGGTGAGGTAAAGAGGAACTCATCATTGTATGCTGGACTCCCAGTGCCGTAAGAGTTGAGAAAGACCCGAGGGTTAGAATTTCCCTTCCAACAAGTAAGGCTGTTCCCTGTGTTGTTGCAGGAGAGTATAAAGAAACAATTGGTGGCGGAAGTTGAAAAGAAGTTTCTGGGGGTTTCGGGTGAGTGTTTTATGTGACTAAAATATGACAGCCTGGGAGATTCTGCATTATGGTTCTATGGGCCGTGTGTTGAAAGGGGTCCCTTCAGCAGAGAGAATGCTGCAGGCAGGGAAGCTGAATGTCTGAGATACCAGTCACCTGGGAATAAGATGTAACCTTTCTGTGTTGACTCTTCATCTCGGTCTGGGGTGATGCTATTGAGTCATCTGTAAAATGCCCGAATGTGCAAATCCAAAAATACCAAATGATCCAGAGAAATGTTGTTTTAAAGTATGTGTGTTTACTTACTAATCTCTTGAGCACTGTTTATTTCCCTTCAGCCTTCGCTAGATGGTTTATTCACGAAGGCAGGCCTTGCTCGTCACTGAATTCTTAGTGTTTAGCGAAGCCTGGCATTGGGTAGGTGCTTAATAAATGCTTGTTGATCGACGCATAGGCACGAATAGAGTGGAAGCACTGTCTCAGGTGTTACAAGCATCTTACCCGTAATAATTATTTTCCTTATTTATGTAGTGAATTCCAATGTTATCAGTAAACAAAGCTGTCTTCCAATAAGGACATAAGGGAATAGACAGTGAAGTTTATAGAATTAACTGAACTAATGTTAATCCAGCAATTGGTACTGTTTAAAGTACTTAGATTGGCTTCTTTGTTCTGTGATTAAGGCTTTGCTAAAAAACAGAAAAAAGCAAAAATTGAGAACCAGAATCGGTAATAAGTACGGGTAAAAGGTATTAACATTTTTCTTGCAATAGAAGCTCCTTTTCTCTTCATATAAAATACCTTTCGTGTTGTCTGTTTGTGTCCCGTTCAGAGCACCCGCAGACATGCTCAGCCGAGATAGACGAAAACACACATCATCCCCGAGAGAACACAGACCCGTCTTTTCTTGCCTACCTAAAAAAGTGAATTTTGTGGTTTTACGTACTTTCAAATGCAAACGCCTCTCTTCTGTCATA